GGAGAAGTTACTGAGGGAAAATTTATGCACATTTGGAAGAAAACGGACTAGTTAGTAACAGGCAGTATGGTTTTGTACGGGGAAGGTCACGTCTCACCAACCTGATTGTCACCTCTTCAAAAAAATTCAAAGATAATTGATGATGGAAGGGCTGTGGATGTAGTTTATATGGATTTTGGTAAGACATTTGATAAAGTCTGGTACAAAAATTAAAATCACATGGGACTCGGGGTGGGCTGGCTAGATGGATACAAAACTGGCTTGGTCATAGAAGGTAGAGGGTAGCAGTAGAAGGGTGTTTTTCAGAATGGAGACCGGTAATTAGTGGTGTTCCACAGGAATCAGTCTTATGTCCTCTATTGTTTGTAGTATATATAAATGATTTGGAGGAAAATGTGGGTTGTGTGATTAGGAAGTTTGCAGATGACACAAAGATTGGTGGAGTTGCTTATAGTGCCGACGACTATGAAAGGATACAACAAGATACCAATAGATTGGTGACTTGGGCTCAGAAATGGCAGATGGAGTTTAATCCAGACAAATGCAAGGTGATGCATTTTGGAGGATCAAATTTAGGTGTGAATTATACTGCAAATGGCAGAACCCTTAGGAACATCAACATACAGGCGGATCTGGGCATGCAGGACCACAGTTCCCTAAAAGTGGCAACATAGGTGATTAAGAAGGCACATGGCATGCTTGCCTTCATTGGTTGGGGCATGGAATACAAGAGTTGGCAAACCATGCTACAGCTATATAAAAGCCTCCTTAGGCCGCATTTGGAGTACTGTGTCCAGTTTTGGTTGTCACACTACCAGAAGGATGTGGACGCTTTGGAGAAAGTGCAGAGAAGGTTCACCAGGATGTTACCTGGTCTTGAGGGCATTGGCTAAGAGGAAAGGTTAAAAAGGACTAGGTTTGTTTTCACTGGAAAGACGGCGGCTGACAGGAGATCTGATAGAGTTCTACAAAATTATGAGGGGCATAGATAGGGTGGATAGTCAGAGGCTTTTTCCCAGGGTTGAAGTTTCAATTACAACGGGGCACAGATTCAAGGTGAGGGGGTCAAAGTTTAAGGGAGATGTGCGATGGAAGTTTTTCACACAGAGTGTGGTAGGAGCCTAGAACACCCAAGGTGGTGGTGGTGGAAGCAGGCACCTGGATGGTTACATGAATAGGGAGAGGATAGAGGGATACGGACCGAATAAGGGCAGAAGGTTTGTTTTTTAGTTTAATTAGGGGATGATGATTGGCACAGGCTTGGAGGGCCGAAGGGCCTGTTCCTGTGCTGTACTTCTCTTTTGTGGTAGGAATTTTCAATATATTTGGCTTAGGAAGTAGCAATTGGGCCAACAATTTAATACAAGAATTCAAAAAGATACATTCTACCTCCTGCGAATTAAGGATAACATGGCTAATCCAAGGTTACACATTAGCTGGATGAAGCACTGGACTAGTGTAAAGCAACTATAGTACACACCACATGCAACTGAGATATCAACACTGCCATCGGGTACATGTTTGCAAGTCTTCCTCCAGAATGAGTAGTAGCAACCCTTCAAAATAACATGGGATGTCTGCCTTGAGGAACTAAGGCACCATTCTCTCCAGCTGGATTGTCTTTCTAGACCACTTTTTGGAAACAAATTACTTCGAATTTACAGCACAGAATCAGGTCATTCAGCCCAACTGTTCAAAGCTGATGTTTATGCACTCAAGCCAAGTACCTTGCTATCATATCAACATCTATTCTCACTCAAATATTTACTTAACTTTCCCTTAAATGCAACTAGCCAGTCCCACATTCTAAGCACTGAGCTAAAAGGTTTCTTCTAAATTTCTTAGTGAATATGTTTAAGGTACAGAATGACATATTTCTGATTGCCAATGGCATTCAGGGTTATGGGGGTGGGATTGGTAAAAGGCATAGAAGTATTTGATCAGCCACGGTCATACTGAATGGCAAGATAGATTCAACTGAAGGAACTGAATGGTCTATTCCTGCTCCAATGACTACTTTATGACTCCTAGTTATGGTCTGGCCCAAAAGGAAACATAGTCTCTTCATAAATCATATTACCCTTTGATCATTTTAAAGACTCTTCACAGCTTTTTCTAGAGTAAAAAAACCCGAAGCTATTTCAAACTTCCCTGATAACTAAATTCTTCTTTCTTGTAGGTTTTAGTTGCATTTTCTGCAGTGCCTCCATCTCCTTTTTATAATATGGGAGCCAATGCAGCACTCAAACGTAGTTAAATTCAGGTGCAATGTAGGTGGGAAGATACATGAACTGAGGTGACCATGGAAAATAAGGTCCTCAGTATTCTGGATGGAGGAAGATTGGCTGTTCTTGCAAAGGGTGTTGAATAATTCAGTTCCCCCAGCAGTTGCCAGCTGCAAATTACAAAGAGAACAGGCAAGGAATTCTGCACCAGAATTCTCAGGAAAAACAGCTGAAATTTAAAATTTATCCTTCTAATTTACAACACATTCCACAGAAATTTATGGTGAGTTTTCAGTGTCAAAGGTTTAGCTCCATTCCTTTCATTTAAAATGGAGAAATGAAGAAATTTTCATTGTTTTTCAACAGTCTCACCTGGAGCGTCTTGACATCAAACTCTAATACCCACTTAGGGCAGGATAATAGAAAAATAAACTTTTTGCCTCAAGCTAAATATTCACTCCTCTCACCACGAGTGCACTTTGGCTGCAATGTGAACTGTCAACAGAATGCACTGCATTTTATTTGCTTGAAAAGTACAAGATTCATTACACAAAAATGAACTAAGTTTGTAATATGATATATGTGGTGTCTAAGCATCAGTTTTACATTTTATCCATGGTTGAAATGTAGGGAATTTGAACACCTCCTGACAAAACTCAAAATTATTTCTAACTGAAAGAATTATGGGCAATTATAACATTCTAACGGCATCAACCTTCATTTATAAGGCATCTTTACCATGACGAAATGCCCCAATTCACAACTCATACGATCAAATAAAATCTGACATCAAACCACATAAGGAGATAACAAGACACTTGATCAAAAGCATTGTCAGAGGTAGATTGTGAAGTAAATTCTTGGATTCTATAGAAGACAGCCAAGAGTTTTAGTAAGTTTAGTGCATAAGCATGCTGAAGGCACAGTTGATAATAATAGAGGGATGGAAGATGTACAAGAGGCCGGAATTGGAGAAGCTACAGATTTGGGGAGGTTATAGGCTGTAAACGTTGCAGAGGTAGAGTGATGAGACTGTGCAGGAATTTGAAACACGAATGAGATTTTCTAAATAAAAAGCAAAGTACTGCGGATGTTGGAAATCAGAAATAAAATTAAAGCGTTGGAGAAACTCAGCAGGTCCAGCAAAATGGTGACAGAAAGAGAGATAACATGGAATCTAATATGACTCTTTTTCAGAACTGAAGAGATCTTTCAGTCAAGACTTCTCTGGTATAGGTGTTAATCAAGTTTGACTGTAGAAGTGATGGGTGAATAGGTCTCTGCTTAAATAGAATAAAGGCAGGTTAGCAAACATTAATCAAAGGGTGCAGGGGCAACCAGGATTGTATGTGAATAGTCAACTCCAGAAAAAAAAAAGACACAGAGGGTTTCAGCTACAGATAAATTGAGATGGGGATAGAAACCAGCGATGTTATGGAGGTGAAAGCAAGTGGATAAGAATTAACTGGAGGAATTCCAAATAACTTGCACTGAACTGTATTGCATCACACTACCAGTTCCAGTGAAACCATTTATGAACTCAGTTCCACAAGAAATGTTTTCTTCCAAGCACAACAACCTGCAACTTGTATGGAACATTTTTTGCAAATGATCAACTATGGTTCAGTTGGTAACTCTCTCATCTCAACTGAAGAGAATCACAGGTTCACATTTTACTCTACTGATTGGAGTATAATCTAGGCTGACCTTACAGCACACTATTGAGGGAGTGCAGTGCTCCAGGTGACGGGTGCCCTTCAGAAAAATTAATATTCAACCCCTCAGGTGATGTAGCAACAACACTATTTTTAAGTAAAGCAGGGGAGTTATTCCTCGCACCTTGGCCAACATTTATCTTTCAACCAGCATCACCAAAACAGATTACTTGGTCATTATCGCATGGCTTAATGTGGGAACTTGCCAGGCAAAAATTGCCTGCAGAGTTTCTTATATTACAACAGTGGTTGAATTACAAAAGTACTCTACAATGGTTTGACATGCCTCAAGGTTGAGAAAGGTGCTATCTAAATACATGTTTCTTTTTCTCTAAGAAGGAACACCCCATTTCCATTCAAATTGTTGCTGAAGCGCTCCCCTTCCAGTGAATTATATAACACAGGAAACTATTTGGCTCATCTAACTTGTGCAGACATTTCGAAAGAGCTGTTGAATTAGTCCCATGCCCCTGTCTTTTCACAAACATTTCCCCTTCAAGGATCTATCCAACATTCTTTTACAAGTTATTAAATCTGCTGCCACCACTTTTTAAATAGTGGATTCCAGACCATGATAACTTTAAGTGAAGGAAAAAGAATTAACTTCTTTGATTCTTTTGGCAACAGTCTTAAATCTGTCTCATCTGGTTCCTGCCAGTGAAAACAGTTTCTGCATAATTACTCTATTAAAGTTACACTTAACTATTCCAAGGAGAAGAATAATCCCAGGATGTCCACATAACTGGAACACTTCATCCCTAGTACCATTCCAAAAAAATGGGTTTGCCTTATTGCAAAACTGGAAGCAAGCAATCAACAGTTTGTAGAAAGAAAAGAATTTGTATTTATTAAGTGCCTTTCACACCCTTGAGGTGTCTCAAGGGAAAGTATTTCTTGATCTCTCTCATCTGATTCTTTTCCCAACTATCTCAAGAGTGAGGAGAAATCTTTATACGTATTAAAGAGAATGAAAACCTAGCCAGCCTGCATTAGTGGATTTACATGGTTTCATCCTCATTGGTCAGTTTCAACAGCCACACATTGAGAAGTGCTTACGTACCGTTCCCACCAACGGATAGATAAAGCCAGCCCCAATACTGGCACGCACATCCCGGATTGGCAAAATGAACCCAGTAGGAACTCCCTTGCACTCGGGTTGATGTGATAGTGACAGATGGGTTTTCGCCATGCAAATTGGCAGCTCTCCAAAACCCTACGTTAGAAAGAGGAAGACTGGTCACTAAGCACATCAGCAAAGCAGAGAAAGGTGTTAACTACACAGAACAATACTTAGGACTGGCTAATCTGGATCTGAGCCAAGAGCAGAATCTTCACACAACACTAAATGACAAAGGAAAGATCAAACATTTGCAATGTTTTACAAAAGTAGTCAGTGACTTTTTTAAAAACATTACATTTATCAACAATTATGGAGCATTGAGTAAGGCTCAGCTCCACAATTATCTATTTTAAAAATAAAATTATCAGTGATTGAATATTAACATTAAAATAGGCCATCTGGCCTAACTGATCTTTGCCATCGATATGCCCCAAACAAATCACCTCCCACCTTGCTTCAAATAACCGTAACCTAATATCCTTGCATTGTTTACTCCTTAATATACTTATATCTTTAAATGCATCTATACTGTTCTTGTCAATTGTCCCACATGGTAACAAGTTAACTTCCTTTTGCATTAAGACATTTATGTTGAATTCTTTACAAGATTTATTAGTGATTATTTTCTATTAATGACCCTTAGCTTTGGTCCTCATATTACACTTTGCTTTAAAACTCATGGTGAACACTGCAAAGAAATGCCACAAATTAAACAATGATGAAAAGGTTTAATCATTTTTTGGAACTAAAGATGATTTGTGAAAATATGGTAAGCTCTGTTATCCTTATAGACCTCAAAATATTTTCCCTTCCTGTGTAAGGGATGAATATACATTTTCTTTTCTTTTGCTTTAGAATGACACAGCTTCAACTCTCCGACACACACTCTCTCCCTCTGTGGTACAAACAATGTCATAGCCTTTACCTGTATAACATAGTCCTCCTCTCTGTTGTACAAGCTCAGCATTTCTCTCTGGTACTCCTTCCGTAACTCCTGCTCCACTCGTAACATATCGTCAAAAACCTATTTATTGGATCTTGATTCTGCCTGAACACTTCTCTCAACATTCTCATTTATGGTAGGTTTCCGTTTCACTCCGCTATCAAGTTTCTTGCAATAATCTTTTGCTCTAAGACGGCAAACTATATGTCATAGAATCATACAGCACAGAAACAGACTCTTCAGTCCAACCAGTCCATGTCGAACATAACCCCAAACTAAACTAGTCCCACCTACCTGCTCCTGACCCATATCCCTCAAACCTTTCCTATTCATATATCCATCCAAATGTCTTTTAAATGTAATTGTTCCCACATCCACCACTTCCTCAGGAAGTTCATCCACACACAAACTACACTCTGTGTAAAAAAAACTGTCCCTCCTGTCTTTTTAAAATCTCTCTCCACTCACCTTAAAAATGTGCCACCAAGTCTTGACATTTCCCATCCTAGGGAAAAGACAACCACCATTATTAACTCCATCTTTCCCTCTCATTATTTTGTAAATTTCTATCAAGCCACCTCTCAACCTCAGCTTATGCAGCCTTTCTTTATAACTCAAATCTTCCATACCCAGCAAATTCATAGTAAATATCTTCTGAACCCTCTCCAACTTGATAATATCCTTCCTGCACCCCTAGGTCCCTCTGTTCTACAACACTACCCAAGGCCCTACCATTAATTCAATAAGCCCTACCCTAGTTTGTTGTACCAAAATGCAATGTGTATGGTTACAATTCACTGTTGACTCTTTCGAACGCCTTCAATGAATGGTTCAACTCCCAATAATTCCACTGTATGAATAAACATTATACCTGGCCTTTGCAGGCTGTTCCTTGTTAAATAATTCTCACCTGACTGATGTACAGGTCCACCTTGGATTGGGCTTGAGGTGACAGCTCTACGTCCTCAGCCCCATAAACCTTCTGTGCTATTGTGCGAATCTTTTCTACAATAGGCATCTACAAAATGAAAAAAATAAAGTGGTAAGTGCTACATTTGAAAGAATGAGAAAAGGTATTACAAGTTAAACAATATATTTTATCAAGAACACTAATCCATTTGTTTCTCTCCTGGACTCAGCATAAATTAAAGTGCAATTTGCCTCACCCATCATTATATTGAAACAAAAGATGAATTGATAGTGACTTTTACAATCTCAAGAAATCTGAAAGCACTTTACAGCCAATAAAGTAGACTTCAAATATTGTCATGATAATAATGCAGAAAATATGGCAGCTAATTTACACACAACAAGCTGTTACAAATGACCACAATCTGTTTCAGGTTCTTGGTTGAGGGACAAACTCTGGCTGGGATACTGGGGAATTTCTCGGTCTTCTTCGAATAGCACCATGCATTTTGCAAGAAAATCTCAAAAGACTGGGCAAAAGCAAGGTGTGGATTAGATTTATTGCATGGGAAGGAAGGAGGAGCAAGTGGACCACAGAGAGGGAGAGTAATACACCATAATTCTTTCGCAGAGATGCGTTGTGGGGAAGAACAAGCTTGTTTCAGCACAGTGTCTAAACAGATCCCATCTGCTCTCAATCTTACAAGACCAGTATCAGATTTCAGCAGAACAGGGCAAAAGGGAATTGCAATATTCAACCTGATTGCGAAGATCAGAAATATGGTCATATATAGTAGAAGCTGAGCAGGAATAGGCCATTAGCCCTCTCGAGCCTGCTCCTGCCTGACTGCATAATGTTCAACTCCCTTGTTGATCAAAAATTTGTCCAGTTCAGCTTTGAAAATATCTAGTAAGGCAGTCCTTGCTGTCTCTGGGAAAAAGAATTCCAAAGGCTAAGGATCCTTCATCTCTGTCTTAAATGGGAGGCCATTTATTTTGAAACTGTGCTACCTAGTTCTAAAGTCTCTCACAAACATCCTAACATCCATTCTTTCAACCCTCTCAGAATCTTGTATTTCAATTCATCACCATAAGATTCTAAACCCTAACAAGTATGGGTCTGATCTGCACAACCTTTCCTCATATGAGCCCTTCTTCCCAGGAATCAAAAGTAAACCAAGGACACCAGTAGTCCAGATACAGTCTCATTAAGGTCTTGTAAAGCTGTAGCAACAGTTCCCCAATAAAGGCTAACATTCCATTTGGTTTCTCAATCACCAGCTTTTTATGACTCAAGTTCCAGGACATCCTGCCCTGGCTGTACCACAGATTTTTGCAATCTTTCTCCGTTTAAATTATATTAAGGTTTTATATTCCCTGCAAAAGTTCACAAGCTCATATTTCTCACATTATACTACATCTGCAAATTTTTTGCCCACTGACTTAATCTACGTCACTCTACACTCTTTGGAGACTCTTTCCATCATGGCAAATATGGTAGACCAACCAATCACAAGTCCCACCTCAAAACAGAGCACTTCCTATTTCCACACAGTTCCTGAGAGAGCTGGTCATTCAAGTCATCAACAGGATTAATTTGTCAGATCTTGGTAACAGTAGTATGAAACCTAATTCACCTGTACCTCCTCCAATCTTGTGCATTGTATTTGCTGCACCCAGTAAGGCCTACTCTACACTGACGAAACGAAACAGACTGAGTCACTGCTTTGTGGAACACCTCTGGTCTGTAGGCAAGCATGACCCCAACCTTCCCATATCCAGCCATTTTAACACAGTGTCCTGCTCGCATCCTCACTTGTCTGTCCTCAGCATGTTGCAGTGTTTAGTGAATCACAGCACAAACTGGACGAGGAACATCTCATCTTCAGACTAGGTACTTAACACTCTTCTGGACTTAATATTGAGTTCAACACCTTCAAATTGTGAACAAACTCCCATTTCTTCCCTTTCTTTTAGCATGTTACATTCTGTTATCATGTCCCCTTCTCTCCCCTCCCCCCATTCCCCCATTCCCCCATTCCTGGGGGACCGCCTGTCCTTTCAAGTCCGGCAGGAGACACGCCATTGTTCTGCCGTTCTCACATTCCAATCACTTTATTTGAATTACCAATATCCTTTCTCCACCAGCTCCCTACACCCACTATACCCCCACACTGCCACCCCAAACTATAGCATAAATGCTATCCCCTCCATGCTTCACTTCAGCTCTGATGAAGCGTCAGCTAGACTTAAAACATTAGCTTGCTCTCTCTCCATGGATGCCATGCAGAGTCTGACCTGCTGCGATCTCTAACATTTTTTGTTTTCAGTACAGATATCAGCATCTGCAGTATTTTGCTCCTACATGAACTGGGAGATCAGGTAAAAGGAGGTTTGAACTTTGTGCATTTCTTTGGATAGGTAAGGCACCCCTTGGACAATGGTTCCAGCACACCTTTAGGGAAAGTCAAGTGTCATTTAGAATTGTTGCAAGTGGAGGTAAGTGCGTGTAAAAAATGCATAAACTATAATTATCAAGACAATTGGAATGGTCAACAAACCAATGAAAAATCAAATCAACAGCACCTGTCAAATGTGTCAACTGGACATGTCAAAAGGTCCCATCAGATGAGCGCATCAAAGAATGTTTGAGGTGTTCAAAAGTATTGTCCAGTAACTCCTTGTAAAAAAAAAATGGTCTGGCATGTTTTAAAGAAAATCACTGTTTCCAATTTCACTCTGTTGAAATGAGGCTTTCCATTAATGGATTATTGTTGCGTGAATACTTTCACAAACTCCATTATCAGAGTCGGGTGCTGGCTAATTAAATCACAGTTAGACTAACAACGACAAGTGGTTATAAAATCTTTGGAAGGGGAGCTTTGAATTTTAATGTTTGTTTCAATAAGGAATGGTGCACTTTAATGAAATTTTTTTGTTAGAAGACTTTATGTAGTCAAATGAATATACAGTAATTTTTTTCATTTAGTGGAGTCTACAATAAGCACTTAAAGTTCCGCTATATTCCTGAGTGCTGACCATGGTGGATAGTGGGTGAGTTGGCATGGTAGGTGCGAAAGTAGGGTGGCAGTTGGGGGACATGGATTAGCATAAGATGGCACAAATTGGCATAGGGACAATAAAGGACCATGGGTGTGGGCAAAGGGGCATAATTTGTCCTGGTGGAAGAGAGGTTATAGGAGTCAGTGTAGGGCATGAGGTGGCATAGATGAGAATACGGAAAATGCGTACATGTGAGGGGTTGTGTTTTGAAGGAAACAGAGTTGAAAGAAAACTTTTGTCTGACAGCACTGAAGACCAAGGATAGGCTATCTGCTCTGCTCAGCTCACATCCACATGACATCCCTTTCATTACTTTTGGGGTCATTTCCCCCCAGTTTGTAAAACAGTACGTCTGGGCATTTTTAAAAGTCACGTTTGTGGAGCTGGGAAGTTTTTCCTGACACTATGCATGCAAACCTAGGCCTATGTATCATTTTCACAACTTGCTTTGTATCTGTTGTGTCACCAGCACATTTAGATATCATATATTTGGTCCCTTCATCCAACTCATTTGTGACGACAGCAAATAATTGAGACCCCAGCACTAATCCCTGTGGTACTCCATTGGCTAGTTTGTCACTCCATAAAGGGACTCATTAATCCCTATAGACTGCTTCTTGTGAGCTAATCAATCCTCTATCCATGCTAATAGGAATCTACAACACCAGGGGCTCTTACCTTGTGCAGTAATCTTTTACATATCATATTGAATGCCTTTTGGAAATCTAAATACACCACATCTGCTGTGTCCCATTATATGTCCTGTTTGTTACTTACTGAAATAGGTCTAATAAATTAGTACAGCAGGATTTCTCTTTCATAAAATTATGCTGACACTAGCAGATTGTATTAGGAATTTCTAAATGCCCTGTTATTACATTCTTAATAATGGATTCAAGTATTTTTCCTTAAGCAGATATTTTAAGTTGCTTCAGGTCCATATTTTGAATGACTTTACAGTGCTACTAAATTTCACACAGGTATTAACTTTGTGACATTTGATGCATCACCATAACCCACGCAGTATGCCATTTGCTATGCATCCCCCCAACTCCCTTTTCCCCAAGGCTATCTGTTGTTTAAGCTCCCCAGCTTTGTAAATCCCTCCCAAAACTTCTGTTACACTTTCCTCTGTTAACACCCTGCTTAAAAAAACTCACCTTTTACCAGTCTTCAAGTCATCTGTACTCGTGGCAAAATGTTAAATTTTGCTTAAGCTACATTATTGTGAAGCAATATAAATTCAAATTGTTGTTTAAAAGCAGAGTAAGATCTGAACTGTAATTATAGGACAACGTAATTTGGAAATAAAATACTTCAATGTTGACTTATAGAAATGTGAGATAAAGAGAAAGAAAGAAAATAGTCCAACTTTTTATTTTTCTTTGTATTAATGTTGAGAATTTGTCATTATTTATCACCGAGATCCATCCAAGGTAGCAGGTGGGGCCTCAGTGTGACAACTATCTGAAAGACACCTCCTTCGACAATGCAGAGCCCTGTTTGTACTTCTATCAATTGTTGGGCTGTGTTCTCATGTCTCTGGAGTGGGGACAGAACCTTGGAGCTTCTGGCTCAAAAGGAAAAAGTTTTCTTTAATACTCACTTAGGGGATGTGGGTTTTGCCAGCTGGGCCAGCATTTATTGCGCATTTCTCATGCCCTTGAGAAAGTGTTGGTAAGCTACCTTCTTGAACCGATGCAATCCACTCACCAGATAGAGCTTATCATAGAGTTATACAGGCTAACTAGCTAAGGGGGAGGGTGAGGCACTACTGTGTTTGGGATCAACAAGGTTTAAAATTGCTTCAAAGAAAGTGTTGCAACATTAGACTGGGTGCTCACTCACCTGACTACTGGCTGGTTGTCACCCAATGAGTCCTCACAATGCAAGGAGAATATCCAATGATATTGTTCAGACTTCCCTGCTAACATAACTTGAATAATTCCCCAGCTGGTAACATTGACCAAGTAACAGATTAAGAAGATCCTCTCAACTTATTTATGGCTTTTTCCTGATAAATTCCTATACTTGTGGGTCCAATTC